ACGCCCGGGGTGATGAGCAGGATTGACGATATTGTCGGGACGGTGAAGCTGGACCCTGCGAGGCAGGATTGAGCGGGATGATGCTGAAAAATATCTAAGAGGCATCTGGCCTTCATACCCGCAAGTAATAAACCTTCTGTGAGGCCAGATTGAATGGCATGATAAGCGCCCAACTTTCGATATTTCCATCAGGTATTAGGGCGCTGCAAACAGATTTCCAAACGCGGGTAAAGATATTTTCTCCTTTGTCCTTCAACACCCTACTACCCAACTCCCGCTCAATCACCTCCATCTCCCTTTCTTCGAGATACGGCGGCCCGCCTTCTCAGGAAGCAGCACAATCCTCTCCTCGTCTGCGGAGCCAACACCACCACTCACACCCTCCCAACGCACTCCCAGCAGAATTCTCCTCCCTTTCATCTCACGTGCGGCCTTAAACCCATCCGCGCCCTCCAGGTCCCTCGCAGAGTCCCCATCGCGTGGGAAATACGTCGAGTAACGCACAATCGAGCTGACATAGCCCAGGATATCTGGCCCGCGCAACTTCGAGCGCAGCATCAACGAAAGCGTGCTCGTCAAAAGGACTATGGCATTCGCCACAAAGTACACTGCTATCCACGGGCGGCTCGTGACATATGTCTGTGGGGCAGCGGATAAGACGCGCGGACGACTTGATGCTAGCATGATGCGTGAGGCGTTCACGGAGTCCTCGGCAAGGCCATCCCCAGGTTGGGAGTAGCGCTTGAGATTCAAGTTGGCCCAGCCGTGGGCGTACGCCCGCCAGTACGTGTTGAAGACCAGGCCGAAGCGGTCCTGGAAGCGGGTGCCCGAGAGGTTGGCGGCAACGTATGACGCCATGGTGTCATCGTACAGGAACAAGGTTTCGCGGAAGCGAAGGGGGTCGAGGATGTAGAGCACAGGGACAGCGGGTCTCATCCCGACCATGAAGGCCCTGTACTCGTAGTAGGCAAGGAGACGATAGAAGGTTTCACTGATGCTGGCTGCCACCGTCGGATTTTGAAATGCGTGCATGTGAAGAGAGGTCGGTGGGTTGCTGGCTCGTCGCATTTGGCTGACGACGAAAGGTGTGTTGCCACTGGGTGTGAGTTCGCTGGATACCTCGGCCTCGACGTAGGAGAGCTCACGCGGCACTTGGTCAGAGCTGCAACGTCGTTATATCCCTTCAGACCAACAAAGACGCTCCGCGGCGGAAAGGCATAATTGTGGTCGTCCCAAGGCCAGTCTGTCGTGTTCCACGTATCATCTGGGCTGTTCATGGGCTTCCGAGTCCCTGTTGGCCATGAGAGAGCCTCCGTGTCAAGGAACACAGATCGTTGGCGGAAAAGATGTGACAGCATCACGTCTGTGGACCATTGGGATGCGATTGTCTCGTTGTAGAAGTAGTACATATTTGGAAAGTTCCTGTGCAGGAAGGCATCTATCCATCGGGTGCCGTTTGTCGGTATTGTAACATTTTGCGGCTCAGCTCTGTCGAATTCAAGAACGTGCAAGGGATCGCACTGGAGGCAAGGTGAGCCATGCATGATCGGGAGGAGGAAGACAGGACGCACCGCCCCGGGTCGCACGTACCTCGAAGTTGTGGTAATTTGCCTCGATACGCCACGAGATGTTGCCAACAATGTCCTTTGGCAGCCCTTCAACGCGCACGCCGATGAGAGATGCATAATCGATCAGCCTGGTTTGATAGGGAACCCTGACCCACTCCTCTGGCCGCTTTTCGTCATAGTCAGGCAGGGACTCCAGTTTTGGGATCCTCACATTTCCCCATGCATCAGACGCGAATCGGACCAAGTCACCGGAACCCAAGCTCCGCACCCTGGCATCGTAGTCATCAGCGATCCCCCCCATGTTTTGGAGGCCAGCCTCGGGGGCGTAGAGGGGTGAGGCAATCAGCGGATCAAGAAACTCCTCTTCGTGACCCATGAGCTGAAAGACGACAGCTACATCGGAGAAGAAGTTGGAGCTCGCAAATTGCATGGGCGTGTCGAGTTCCCTGAGCTCGGTGTTTTCCCGTGTTGCAACCGCCCGGATGATTGCCTGGGTCCCCAACGGGTTGAACGCCCAAAGAAGGATGACCACCACGGACTGAACATGGAAGAAGCGAAGCTGAATGGGTGTGAAAAGAACACCGGCAAAGGTCTGGCTGCCAACGAGGTGCTCGATGTGGACCAGATTTCCGCCCTTTTCCGTCATGAGCCTGGCGAGCGTTTTCCCTGCGGCGCCCAGCACTGCGGCAAACAGAACTGGCCAGAAGGAGGCTGCGACCCTGCTGGCTTGCCCGACGGCCTCGTTGCCATCTGTCAAGGGCTTGTTGTCCAGTGTTGCAACCAGAATTCCCAACACTGTTAACATATCAAGCAAGGATGACGTCAGCCGGCTGGTTGCAACTTGCCAGCGGGAACGTGAAACCAAGGAGCACGCTGTCCGTGGTATGCGGGCTCACCTAGGAAGAAAAGGGCTAGGATGAAACCAAGGAGTTCAAGCCCAAAGGCGAACCAGCCAAATTTTGTCGGCTGCGAGGTTGCCTCCGCTACCTTCAGGTCAAGCGCTCGAGGTGACGGGTCGTCTTCCTGCTCGGGGCCTACAGGTGCTTGTTGGGCTCGGAGAGGTGGTGGTTGTTCATCTTGGACCTGGAGCGGCTGTGGGGGCGGTTCCGATTCGGGTCCGAGGGTTGGGGTGTCGGAGTCATGTTCACCATTGACAGCTGGGGTGGCGGGCGTGACTGCCATATCTTGGCCTGGCTCAAGTTTTCTGGCTGATTGGCGGCCTCGGAATTGCTGGGGGCTTCCATCTTGCGCGCGGTTGATGGCTGACCAGAATGCGCCAGGACAAGCCGAGGTTTCTTGAGCTTTCTTGCAAGATACGAGCACTGGTCCAAGGTAAATAGGGGAATTTCTGTTTTTGATGTCTCGCAACAGGTCATCATCCCATTGGGCAGCCTCGATGCAAAAATCAGGCAAACTACGAGACTTGGAAATGCGCCTTTGGTGACACTCTCACCGGGCACTCATCGTCAACGCTAAGAAGCAACGAGTTCAGCACATCGGGCCACGTCACACCAATCATTGCTGACTGGATCGAGCGATTTTTCAAAAGGTGTGGATGCGAGCCTGGCACGGCTCTTCTGCAATTGCACCAGGCTGCTGGGCCATCTTTGCTTTTCTGGCGTCGGCGTGCATCGTGATACTGTATCTTAACTTGAGGCTGGCAAAAAGACCGACGCCATGCAGGATTGGGAGGGTCTTGGCAGGCAGACCTTCGAAACAGCCCAATGAAAGTTGAAGCATCTCGAAGCCTTCCTATGTCGGCTTGTGTTGCAAGGAGGCCAGAACCTCGAATGGATGCCACGTTTGTCAATTGGCGTCCAATTGATCTTCAATCTTTTAAGTAAGGTGGTGGGGAGAGGAGGCAATGCTCCGGATTGTCCTGCCGCCACTGGCAATATCCACGCTGCCCAAATATTGTTCAAGTTGTCCTCTGGAGCCTCGATTTTCAAGATGCGAGTGTACCCAAGGCTTTTCTACTTTCTAAGCTTTTCACAGGGATGAACAAAGACGAGACACAACCTATGATGATGGCGAAAGTCAAGTTCTCGTTGCTCGCTCTTGCCGTTTGTTCGGTTTCCGCGGCGCCTTCAATCGCATTCCCCACGGCAAGCCTGCTCCCTCGAACTAGCTTTGCTTGCCCAGTCTTCCCCGACTTTGACGGCGTGCTGCAGATTTGCACCGACAAAGATCTCTTCTGGGACAATCGGCGTGCGTACGGAAAAGACGTCACAATCTACACGATCCCCAACGATCCTGTCATCGCTGGTGCTTCATCACCGAGTTTGGCAACAGCTTTGGAAACGGTTGAAAGCGCCGTCAATCGCGGCCTATCTTACTTTCAGAGCTGGGGTGCTGGACTCAAAATCTACATTGCGCTTCTTGGAAACATACCGGACGACGATGGATCTAGCCCGTACGGCAAGGCAAATGCAGCATACACGACGACAAGCGGCGGCTCACCCAGCATTTTGCATTGCGATGTTCTCATCCTCTATCCCAAGTCCAACGACCCCGATCACAAGCTTCGAGCCCTCAAGGCAGTGGTCCACGAGCTCTACCACTGCCTACAATACGCCCAAAATCTCAACGGAGCTAAGCTTCGAGGCACGTCAACAAGAAGGGCATGGTGGATCGAGGGTACCGCACGTTTCTTTGACGGTGTAATATACCCGCCACCCACGTCCCGGGATCTTCAAGATCTTGGAAAGTTTCCGGAAGCATATAACCCCGAGATATCTCTTGTGCGCCAGACATACGAGGCCGCCCTCTTCTATCACTATCTCGTCCAAGCAGGTCTCTCACCCAGTCGAGTCAACAACTGGGTCGCTTCGAAAACTGGGCGAAGTTCCGTGGCCGAAGATGTTCAGGACATATCCGAGACAGCCACCTTCACCTCAAACTGGCACGGTTTTGCCAGGGCATTTGCAGACAACGCGATCAACTACACCGCTAGCATTCCGATCGTCCTTGCCAATCCCTTCCCGCGCCCAGCTGCTTTGGCCCCGTTATCCTCGCTTGGTGTCGGGACCACCCAGCGCATACCGTACGCCCTGGAACCGTTTACATTCAATATGACCACATTTCGGTTCCCAATCAACACCGTGCATAGGCTTTCTTTTCTAGGTATCGGCGAGGGAGGCTTTGACTGCTCGTACCGCGAGGTAGGACGTGTGACATGGCGGAGCGGCCAGAGTGTCACAGTCACTGCAGCAGCGTCGAGAGTATCAGTCGAGGTCGTCTGCTCATGCAGCAGCTCTTTGGTATGTTCTGGCAGGTTTGTAGCGGAGAGAACTTCATGAATGCGGACTTTTGCGAGGGAATTCCTCTGGAGAAACACTTTGAGAAGGCTGAGTTCTGTGGTGCTGGGCGCGTTCTCTTTTCGCTGCAAAGGTTGTAACCTCGCTTTCTGGCATGGCCACCACAACAAGCTCGTCCCTCGTGGCGCAATTGGCTAGCGCGTCAGACTGTTACTTCCCCTTAAGTAAATAATCGCTTAAGGAGAACAAGCGGAATCTGGAGGCTGTAAGTTCGATCCTTACCGAGGGAGATTCTTTTTGCAATTTTTCTCTCTATTTTTCCTCCTGTTATTTTTTTGACGACGTCACTGGGGTGAAATACTACGTTGAAGGGAATCTATAGTGTGACAAGACGTGGTTGTTGTGTTGGCAGATGCATCATGACCTGGACGGCAGGCACGACGGAAGTGCCCCACCCAACCTGCCAAAAGGGGGGAGGGGGTGACCAAAGAGCACCTTCCACGACAAGACGGCCTTCCGCACCGAGCTTCGTATCTAGCCTTGAACAATTGGATGAACCCCGGACCGTCGCTCGAGTAGCCCACCACGCCGTGATCTCTGATCGATCCCTAGGGAAGCCACCTCGGACTATCCCAAGCCTCGCCCTCGATGACAAACTCTATTCCCCCCTCCAGCAAATGACAGCGCTCAATCAGCGCCACGACAGGCCAATGGCCGGAAGTGCGCCAGGAATGGTGATTCAACAAGCGTACACGACCCCTTCGCTCGGCCCAGCCGAAGAACATCAGGGTCGCGCCCCCAGCCCAGCCTGGCTCGGCACGGCCCGTCCCTCCTTGCTCCTCTCACCCCTCTCAATCTTCGATGGCAGTCGACAAGAAGGACGTCGGAGAACTAGCCTCTGCGCTACCCCCAAAGGCCAAGGCTCGCGAGCACCGTCGACCAAGCATCACTGGCTCCTCGCACTCCGAGTGTCCCGACTCGCCCACGCTTGGCTCCACAGCCTTTGACGACGGCAACCTCGAGATGACTGATTCCGACTGCTCAAGGGGTACGGGCTCGGGCTCGGGTATGTGAACAAGTTGGGGGTGATGCCATTCCTGGGTGAGTTGTGTGCTGACAGAGGCAGGTGTAGGTCTCCGGCGCCGGTCGTCAAAGGGCTTCGTGCCCCGGGCAAAGTATCGCGAGCTGAGCGATGGCCCGGATGAGTTCGGCGTCAGGCCAGTATCTCGGGGTAAGGCCACGATCCACCATCCTTTCTTGCCTCAATCAAGCTAATCCACGAGCAGACGGCACAGGCTATGTCCTAAGCGGATATTGGACAGACGAGTTCCCCTCCCGCGCTGCTCAGGCTCAGGGTGCTAGAGAAGGAGAGCTCGCGGCGAAGAGTAAGCTGCTGCAGCCCGGCTTCCGCCATAGCCTTCCGAATGCCGGATTCGAGGGATCGGAAAACGAATTCGGGTCGCTCCGCAAGCCAAACTCACGGTCAGGGTTCATCGGGACACCGATGGAGACCATCAGCGAGAACTCGGTCGAGACCGACACCCGCCAAACATCCCCTGAAATTGACGACTTCCCCAGCCCGAAATGGCCCACACCCACACCCATACCCACACCTCTGTCGACCAAGTCATCCCGAGTCTCGAGCACGCGAGGCCGTGACCCCAACTCCCATGAATCACTCCGCGTTTTCGGCAACCTATCGCTCGAGGAGCGATCCATCGCCGACGCAATGGACGCCTACGTCAGCATCGCAGCCGGAGATTTTGACAGCTCGCGAACGGCCACACCAAAAGCCGCTCCGGTACGCCACCAAGGGTCCCTCGCCAGCATCGACAGCACCTTGAACCTGTCTACAACCATCGGCAGCATGAGCACCGCCCGGGAGCAGGCACGCAGCCGATCATCCCAGCGAACGACAACTACCCAGCCCCTCAAGACGCTCCTCCCCCTCCCCGACATCGATATCTCGGAGCCCTTCTTGGCCTTCTCTGACTGCGCCCCCCTCAGTCTAGGGGAGGACGTCGCCCCACTGGAGGCCAAAGACAAGAACGGAGACCAAACACCAGATCTGCGCGTCCGACAGTTCCTGATGGAGTCGCATCAGAGCGAGCTCCGTGGCAGAAAGTCTCGACGCAGCCTGCGACGTCCCGACAAGCCAGGCGAAACGCCACCACGGATAGACTTTCCCTCCCCACCAGAACCGCGGCACCGCGAAAGGCTGAGGCCGTCGGCAAGCGGATACTCCACGGCCTACAATCCCTTTTGCCTCCCCCTCATCCCGGAAACCAAGACAGACAACGAAGGAGACCGGCACAGCGCCTCTGACTCCTCCGCGCAGCGTACCAAGACAGGCAGCGATGGCACATCCACAAGACGCAGAACGAAAAACAAGAGCAGCCCATTGAGCCAGGGCTTCTTTAACGTGGGTATCCCAAGCCTAACGGATTCGGGGGTCCAGGCAGACGAAGAAGACAACAACATGGATGGGGAGGACACGCCGCGAGCCGTGACGCTCACCCACGACACGATGATGGAGATGATGGAGGCATCACCGCTCCTCAAGGCAATATACAGGTGGCACATGGAGGAGCGGTACTTCACTGAAGACCTGACGGCATTCGCGTGCGATCCGCGAACTAAGAAGTCGGTTGGATATCTCCCAGTGCCATACCGAGAATACTTCCAACGGCTCCACAACCCATTGGTGGCGTTCGGGTACGAGGTGCAGCGGTACTGCATGCGCTATATCAGCGGGTACGACTTGTCGATGCAGATCCAGCTCCTGCAAAGAGCCCAAAAGGCTCATGAACAAAACGAGCACAACCGCGGGAACGGGGGCATGTTCAGGGACAGCGGCATTGGGTCTGATCTCGGGCAGAACTGTGGGTGCGAAAGTGGGCACAGCTGCCGACGACAAGGAAGCAGTCGAGAGATGGACCGCCGGTCCCCGACGCCGCCTCCCCGGCTGAGCATCCCGTTCATCGAGAACCCCGATGAAGAAGATGACCTCATCGGCCTGGGCATCACAAACGGGCCCTTCTTCGCGCCACGGCTACCAAGTTCTCCCGAGGTTTTAGACTCCCTGAACCTCCGGAAGACCAACAGCACCCCGTCGATCCAAACGCTGCGCAAGAAAGGGAGACTTCCCAGCAAAGAGACGCTGAGAGAGGCAATGTCATCATCGGGGAAGTCTGAAAAAGCAAAGGGGAAGTGTCGCGAGGTGTACACGCCAAATCTTGAATCACCACCAACGCCGCCCCCGCCGCCGCCGAAGAGCAAACGCAGGAAACGGGTCGTCCCAGACGACTGCCCGCAGCTTCCCAAACTTGAGATCCCCGAGCTCTACGATCCTGGCTCTGGCTCTGGCTCTGGCTCTGGCTCTGGCTCTGGAGACATCAGCAGCGCACCCCGCACTCGCAGCCTGGCGTCTTCCGTCTCATCAAGCGCCGCAAGCCAACGCACCGCAACTCTGCGGGATCTGCCCATTTTGCCATTACCGACTCCCGCACCTCTTACTCTCGAGCAGAGCGAAACGATGGTTCGGGCGCTCTACATCACGATGCAAGCCCTCATCGTCATGCGCGACTTCATGAGTGACCTCGACGATGTCCACTCCATCGTACGCCTCCCCCATGGTGAATGCGACGGTTACTACCGCGCCGAAGCTCGCCGACGCTTCTTCTTTGAGCTACTGCCCCAATGCCTCGATCGTATCGAAGGCACCATCTCCGTTCTCGAGGAACAAGCCGGCATCATCGGGGACATTCTTGACAACTACTTGCCATTCCCAAATCCAGCCGCCAGCCAAGCCAAGCCTGATTCCTCGGCAAACATCACCGATCAACCAGCCGATGCAGCCCTCCGACAGCCGGGCAACCGCAACTCCCACCACTCCCGCCGCTCCCAACCTGAACAGCCTCTCCCCATTGCTCACCGCGGCACCTCCGCGTGGGCTCGCGCTACCGCCATGGAAGGTACCATGACTGGTGGTCTCCCACCGCGCCGTGCAATCTCCGCCTCCTCCCTCCTACTTCATTCCGCCTCTGCCGCGGCGGCCGCCTCAGGGTATCCCTACTCGTCCCGCCTCGCGCACCCCTTCCTCCGTCCCATCTCGCGCTTCTGTTGCGCCTGTACCCGTGTCCGCTTCCACGCAATCCAACAACTCGTGCGCTTCCGCTTCCTCGACAGCTTCACCTACTGGAACCTGGAGCGGCTGGAAAACCGTCTGGAGAAGCTGCGGGTTGACGACGGGCACGAGGGCGCGGGGCCCTTCTGCGCAATGCGGTATACCGTGCAAGGTCTAGCGCAGGATATCATTGCACGGCGCAGGAAACACATTGGGATCGCGGATACGGAAGAGCGCATGAGTCTGGACAGCGACGGATGGGATCGGGACTGCGGCGGACAAGCTGGATGGGTGAGTCGGGTGTTGGGACCGAGGGGCCGGAAGAACGCGAGTGGGTGGAACGCAGAGGAAGGGTCGAATTCTGAAGAGATGCGGCGGTTAGTGGTTGTCGACAGAGGGGAAGCCCCAGGGGAGAAGAGGAAGAAGAGGAGTACCTGCAGCAGCGGGGAGGAACGTCGATCAAAAGAAGAGCGGACGGGAGAGCGGGTCGAGAAGCTTGTTGGGTGTTGATGCTAGATATCCCGGGGTGTTTGTTTCTCTTTGTTTGATGTCTGGGGGTATGTCCTTGTGCTCCGGGTCCATACTGTTTGCTTGCTTGCTCTGCTTTGTGGGCCAGCCAGCGTGGCGCATGCTGGGTTTGAAGTGTCAATATCGACGAGAAATGTTCCAAGATCATACCAGATACAGCACGGGCGGTTCGTTTGTTGCTCTTCAACTTTTACATTGAGGGAGCAGACCCCCCTCTATCTCATAGGTAATGCGTAATTATCGATCTCTTGCTTTGCCATTTGCTTGTATTTATCGGAGAGAACTTAGCCTTGATAAGACATTAGAACGCGTTGAGCAACTATCGTTGAGAATGTTCTGCCTTCCATATTTGTCAGTGTTGCCGGTACAGCCTCCGATGGCAATCTCAACCGAAACCCGCGGGCCCTGCCATCGGCGAAGAACACCAAGTTAGCAATGACACAAGAAGCAGGGGATGCGTGAAACGGCATTGTAGTTCTTGGGCATTATTCGGATCTATAAAATCCACACTCCCAAAAGCGGAGATGGAGACCCTAAATCCCCAGCCAACGCGATATGGAGAACACCACGCCCAGATACCAAACGCTCCGAAATACGCCCCACGCTAGAATCCCATAACCCCGATCTAACCCCATT